ACATATTCGGTATCATCCCTCAACCGATGCTCTCCTGTATCCTCCCGTTGATCTCCAGATGTCAGGCTTTGGACCGAGGAAGGTGGAAATTCCAATTGGAGGCGCTTGCTCGCGGAAACTTCACTTGCGTCAGGACCAGAGCCTCCCTGACAGTGTCGCTTCCTGCCAGACGTTGCAACTTCCTCAGGAATTTGCAATTCTGTTTCACTCGCATTTTCCGAGGAGTCTTCGTCGTCGTCAGATGCCACTGGTGCACAAGGTACTAGTTCCTTCAACAATTCATCCTCCACATTAGATGCCTGAAAACGTCGGCAACGTAATGGAAAATACATCTCGTCAAACGTAAGATTATTCGTATGGACGATTCTATCATGCTCGATATCCCAAACCAAATACCCCACCTTATATCCAGAGAAAGCGCACGCGTTTCCCAGATTTAAACCATGAATTGCTGGATCATCCACCTTTGACGTGCGTAGTTCATTCTTGAAGAAGGTGCTGCACCCAAAAACCTTGAGCTTGCGATAGTCAAACTGCTCGGTTGTATATATCAAGTATGGTGAGGAATACCCTAGATTTCGTCCACTAGGCAGAATGTTGTACCGTAAAACTGCCTGCTGTACGGAATATTCCCATTTGCTCCGGGGTACTCCGCTCTGACGTAGTAACGTCCGATGAATGGACATTACGCTTCTGATTCCACGTTCAGCGAACGCATTGTAGACCTGAGAGTACTCTGGAATTTTGTCATGTCGTATCCCATGATCAACGAAAAAGCTCTCCAGCTCCACAGAGCTGAATTCTGAACCGTTGTCAGATACAATCTTCTGTACCTTAGGACGAGAGCTGTCACGATCCTCTTGTAACAGTATTTCCTTGAGGATAGCAGCCGTCTGACTTTTCGTGCGCATAGGTCGTACTCGCACAAATCCGGAAAAGACGTCCACAATGATCAAGAAATATCTATAACCACCAGGCTCGGATTGTACAATTATGTCTTTCAAATCCATATGCCAGACTTGATTGACCTCTGATGCCCGCTCCTGTCGGAAATCCGACTGTCGATGGATCGGCCGTGAGACGAACTTTGCTATTCTACAGGTGTGACAAGGAGATTTCTTTAGGCGCCTGTCGTACGTGATATACTTCACCGAATCGGCTAGTAATTTTTGAATCTTTGCTTCCAGATGTCCGAGCCGAAGGTGCCAGATGGCCGATTCTGTCGCAGCTGACAATCGGGACTGCTCACACATGTTCTCCTCTGGCTTGAGAGTCACTAAACTTGATGGACCCCCACTGTAATTATCACCATTGCTCGTACCAGCGCAAGAGGTTGTACTGTTGCACGCCACACTAATCTTCCCATCTCCCATGAAAACCGTCTGCAAAAAGTACAACCTATCTCGTTGGAATACATCGATTTTCAATGCACCATCTTCTGAGCAAATGTAAGACTTTAGGGCACTCCTGGAGCCCCGTGATAACATGTGGTAGTCAGTCCCAAGAACATCATCCAAGCTAAGCAACGATATCGGGACAAGCGGGCATACGCGAACGTTGACAATAATCTCGTCCAGACAGGTGTTAGTTGTTGGACAAACCAGTTGCAGTCGTAATTTTCCAACCTTATCACAGACGACAGTACCTCCAGCGGTAAGCACCTGAAATTCAGGTCCAGCTTGGACATCAAACAACATAGACTCTTCCTTGACCATGGAGATATTAGCACCAGAGTCCAGCAAGAACGTATGGCCTCCAGCTCCTTCTTTCTCCTTTACCTGCAATGCAATTTCCTGCAATTCCTCGATGGTAGACGTGGAGTCGAGACCAAATGTGAAATTTGCTTTCCACGCTCCTTGCCTTCGATTAGCCTGTGACGCAGATTCCGTTGCATTCTGGGCCGATGAGCGTTCAAATGGATTTGCAGGAACAGAAGATTTCTTTTCTGACTCATTCCGCTGGCCGTCTGCGTCAGCCTTCTGCTGGTGACTGTGTGAACTTGAAGAAGCATTCGCTGCCATGCGTTGAGCTGCCTGAATCAACGCTTCCCCCATCTTGCGCGTGGTTTCAGCGTCCACAACTCCCCCTGACAACAAATTCTGCAAGACAGATGACGGTTGTTCACTTTCAACCCCTCGAGGGTTAAACCGCTGATTTTTGTAGTTGCCATTATTTTGATTGTAGTTGTTGTTATTGTAGTTGTGGTTGTGATTGAAATTTCCATGACCTCGACCACCCTTCCAACCTTTGCCTCCATGTCCTTTCTGTCCACCCTGACCTCTACCATAGCCTCCTTTGAAACTTCCTCTCCCTCCATTATGGTACCCATCCTGATTCCGCCTTCCCCTGCCACGGTAACCCGTATGGTTAGGTCCGCCGTCCCCCTCGCCTCCGCGGCCAGGGAAACCACCACGGTATGAGCTAGGGTCAAACGCCGCCTGATCTTGTCCCGCCCTACCAGGTCCTGAAGGAGCTTGACCAGAAGCCTGGTAAAACGTTGGGACGTTCCCGACCGGACCTTGGATAGGAAATGGATACATAGAGGGTTGACCTTGAGCATAGAAATTGAAAAACGGGTCTTGGCTGGGAAACATGATACCTTGGGGATATGATGGAGGTATACTCCCACGAACTGGGTAATTACCATACCATTTGGGATCGACGTGAGAATTCTCTCCCGAATCCGCTTGACCACTATTTTCGCCTGACCCCGAGGATCTCTTCTTGCCCACTGCAACTTCTCCGACAGCCTGCGGTTCATTCGGTACCATCGGTTCACTTGCCACAGTGATATTCACCACTGACACGTCTCCCTTCGCATCCATCGCGGGCGTCACGGTCGTAGTCGTCTTGCTTCTAGTTTTTAAGATGCGCCCCCAGTGGAATATTTCGTCGAGAGAAATCTTTTCTGGTCTCATATTACTCTTCTTCCAATTTCGCAATTCTCTATTCAATGCCAATGACTGCAACGATTCACAAGTCGATTCTTTACACCTGGCATGCAAGAGTTCAGCGATCTGGATCTCTAACGGCCCCATCCTTTGGTGTGCCCCCACAACACCTTGAATACTATCCTTGAGATTCTTAAACAGTAGCTTGATTTTGTCCACGTTCCTCCAGAAGGCTTCTTCAGACTCAAGTGGCTGTTTCGCTAGCGCTCTGAGCTGATCTCTCCCTTCGTCCTCAGTAAGCTCGATAAGCTCAGCTCCACTTCGTTGCTTTACATTCCAGCGTACCAGTGCCAAAGTTTTGAAGAATGCCAAAGGATAGTTGCCTCCTCCTGACATCTGCCACTCTATGTCGAAATCATCCTTTAGCTTAACTCGAAAATAACTGTTCGTGCTGACAAGTACCTCAGCAATATCCTCAAATAAGACTTCCACCTCCTGTCGATCAGCTGAGGATCTGAACAACCTCGGTGATATTTGGTACTTGTGTGGAGAGAAAACCACAGATGTATCGAGTGGATTACCCATCTCTCCTTCCTCTGAAGCACCATCATTCACATCCTCGCTGGCTGCGATTGCCTCCTCGAATTTTCCTCGCAACTTCTTAAACTTCTCAAGAGCATCCTTGAATTTCTTCCCATTCTTCCAAATGTACCCAGCATGCAGAAACAACGCCGTGACCTGAATCTTCCACTCCAGCGAAGAGAATTTTTCAAGACCTTCTGGAGACGACTCCCACATTTCATGAAATTCTCCAACAAACGATCCAGTCTCGTCAATCGGAAACAAGTCCAACAGTTTTAAGAAACAAGCCCCAAGATTTGGACGAAAACGACTCATGGCACCTGAGAAAGGAAGGAACAGGTCCTCGAGTTTTTCCTTGGAGGTAACCTTCCCATGCTTCAGCTTGTCGACCTGAACATCACCATGGCTTCGTTTCAACTCCTCTTGCAGATCTGGCATGCTCATGATCGTCAACTTGGAGTTACCAATACCGTTCCAAAAAAATGAGTAACAGCGTACAGTATAACTTAAAGAGCCTTCAAACTCGTTGTCAATTCGACGCACAAAGACCAAGAGTCCTCAAACTCGTTGTCCTTGGAATCTTATCGTAGAGTCTTTTTGTATTCCTTTGTTCGCGAATACAAAAAGAAAATTTTCTTTTTGTATTGGAATCAATTCCTGACTCCTAGAGTCTGTGCACAGATGAATGACTAGTAGAACAGCTCAACAGCTGACTGATAAGTCCAAAGACCAAGACTCACAGATGATGTGCGCACGAAGACACCAATGACTTTCACAGCCAACCAAACACCTCAGATAACTCAGATCAACTTCCCAACAATCCCCAGCACTTTATTCCCAACACTCGTAGCAGCAAGACCAACCAAACAGCTTCCCTTCACACACCACCGCCTTACTTCCACCACTGTACGAGTGCTGCCTCTTCGACAGCCGGCGCCTCTTGATTCCTCCGGCGCCGCCTCAGCTTCCCCAGGCTCCAACCAACCGGATCTTCTAAGTCACAGACTAAGCTCCAGCCCACTAGCTTGGACCTGCAGGCTTCACTTGGTTCACAACCTGATTAGACGCATCCCTTGAACTTATCGCGTCTGAAAGAACTTCTGAGAGGTTTGTCAGAACCTGAGTTCTTACAAGCCTTTAACTGAGAGATCACTTAACTACCGTGTACTAGCCCGGCGTGGTGGCCCCGCCATGTGAAATCCGATGGGCCACTGACAGTCACGCCTTGATACGACTCTTTTGTTCCAGTGTGCCTCGTGACTCAGCGCAAACACACGTCGACTCAAGTCATGATGGCAGTCAATTGTCCACGTCGAAGCTAGTCTCAGTCAGTCTTGACGCCCAGTTTACCTGCAGTGAAAGTTCTCGAACTTGGTTAAGCCTGGCTTAACTCTCGTTAAAGTATCTCAAATCCCTGTGCACGTGATCAACTGATGCACAATCACAACGTTTCATACCTCCCTCGTGACCAGGAGTGTGACAAAAATCCATCCCACTGGTTTCCTCCTGCCGCACTAAAGCAATTTTACTGTCGATCATCACGCGGTCCCCTAAACCTCTAGCCCCTTGCTCCTCCTCCACGGCCTGCGAATCATCGCTGCTGTTCCACACATCGGTTCTCAGCTCAATCGCTATCGGCCATATTGCAACCATCATGATCCCTGCCTTTGAAGCTTCGCAAGAATGCTCGAGCCGAGCTCACAGGCCATGTGAGAACCAAAATCCCATCATTGCTAGAAGACGATGCTCCTGCTCGACAGATTCAAGAAGATGCGGAGAAAAGTGGGTAACCATGCTGTACAGCCGAAGATTATCTTGCTCAATGACTGCGCTCCCTTTTGAGAAAACTAGCCATGCAGTTGTACCAGCAGTCAGATATCCCGAAACAAACAGTCCGTCCTTGAAGATAGTCACGCCCTCCATTGACAAGAACGGGAACATAGTGGCTGGGGGTGGATATGATGACCTTGGCAGAGCAGTGCGTTCGGGTCTGTCAAGATCTATCAGGAATGATGGAAACTTTGTGCGAGACTCAACCGGTGAATGGTTTCCTGTCGAACGACGTACGCAGTCGACCGTCAGTGCAGGTTGTCTCAACAATTGCATCGTTTACACGTCTGCCAAAGATATCCTTGCTGGGGTGTATTACTTAGAATGACGTAGAATGGTGTGGAAAGTCTCAGCCCTTGTAAAGATAGTCGCATGGATGCATGATTTATTTTGTTGAATAAAAATGTAATGATTTACCAATTCTACGCACAGGCAGCGCAACCCTTCATGGAGCTATTTGCTCTGACCTTCGCTCAAGAGATTCTGTTTCTTATTTTCGTCGAAAGTAGATCCAAACCATCACAAGGATGAAGACTGTTCCTATCATTCCTGCATCGAAATCTATTAATATCCTGAACATGCAAGCAAATCAAACAGGCCAATCAGGGAGTTGAAGAAGGAAAAAACACCACAACATCTCAATTTTTTGTGCAATACCGGCGAACAACAATATGATATCCATCGCTTGTCGTTTTTCAATAACTGTTTGCCAGGCGTTAACTTATATAGTCATCATTTGTGGACTGACCTCTTATGAGGGAATTGGAAACACCAAGTGTATTCATCACATCCAGAACCTTTCAGCACGTTATCAAAGAACAGCTCTTAAAAGAGATTTGTGTAACAAAATATGACCTTCTTGTGTACATTTTTCAATTGTTCTCTTTGACTGAACAGCACATGAGTCCAGAACAGATCTGAAGGAACAAACAACTTACATCCCAAGGTTTGATAGAATTTTAGCCCCTCTCTCTTCCAACTCATCGATAGCCTAGAAAAAGATCATGGAGGCATCATCATAAAGCCATATATAACATTTCCCAAAGCACTTACAGCATGGGACCTTTGTAAAGCCATGCGAGATTCGACATCTAGGCTTTCTTGATCTGAAGGCTGACCTCCCTGAATATCTTTGAATAACTGAGCTCGTTCTTCTTCCTGCTTCTCTTTCCCAAGCAATCTGCATAATCAGGATGAGGATTAAATCTCACACATTTTTTTAACCAACCTCTTTCTTTCCCTTTCATAGAGTCTTGACAAAGATTCAAACTCTTCGCGGAGATTTCCAACCTTCAGTGAACCAAGTCAAAACGAGGGAGGCTAGGCTGAAGATACACCTTATTTTTCCACAGATCTTTTTTCGCTGCAGGTTCACCGAGCACAAGCTGTTCCATGGAATTCTGCAGCACGAATGAACAAATGGGAAAAGAAACAAACCAGCATACTAACCACAAGGCCTTTGGTGTCAATTAGTTTGTTTTTTGCATCTTCCAATAATACTTTTGCTTGCTCAGGTGGGCTCGTAGACACTTTGGTCATTATGCTTTCAATCGTCATCGATAACTTGCGTGAGTTTTTATATTGCTCATCCAACGTGAGGCTCATCGTTGCTGTTCGCAGTTTCAGAGTTTCAGCACAAAAAAATCTAAGTTCATTCATAAATGATCATTTCGATTGGAAGGGAACAGCTTTCTGTTTCAATCACTGGCTAAACCATAGGTGCCTTCCTACCTCTGATGCCATGACTGATGTCTATCAGCATGATTTTTGGCATAGACGCCAACTCTCACAGACATGTCTGTAATTCACAACAGTTTGACCAAAGGCAATCTTGACAAATCTCAGAGCTATTCCTCAGGCGTGACCGCTTGTCTTGTAGCTCCATCTTGCATCAATCTGTTTCCTTGCCTCCCGAGCTCCTCTCCTTGACCTCTCGTCTCGCTGGCTCCTCTCCTTGACCTCTCGTCTCGCTGGCTCTGTCTCGCTAGCTCCTCCCCGCCAGCTCTCGTCTCCCTAGCTCTCGTCTCCCTAGCTCTCGTCTCCCTGGCTTACTCCTTTTCATTGGCTCTGGTCTCCTAAGCACGCTCCTCCTTAGCTCTCGTCTCCTCGCCGGGCTCAGACTCTCTGTAAGTTCCGTGCACAACCCCGCCCTTGCCATTTCCTGCTTCCACGTCCTTCGATGCCAACATTCTGAGGCGAACCCCGGATGATGCCAACATTCTGAGGCGAACCCCGGAGAGCCGTCCGGGCCCCTGCTCGGTACTACGGTAGTACGGCGGTCAAACTTAGTAGCACTGCGGTACTGATCATTGAGAGCGGGACAAGATACTGGCGGACCAACTGCCACTACTGGTCGGCACCAGGGGTGGGGGTGCATGGTACGGTAGTGAGACATGGTGGTGAGTGTCAACTGTCGGGGTACTCCGTGTTGGGTGGGGTGGGTGGGTGGGTGCACCGGTCCCATCCCCCCGACTCTTGGTGAGTTCCGGGTCTAAATTGGCGGAGAAGGGGGTAACCAGGGGCCGAGAGTGACGAGGGAATCCGAAGGGTGGGGTGGTGCAAAAAGGAAATAGGGGTTGTAGAGGGACCAGGTCCGTCAACATTCAGCATGGCGCCCCCCAAGTTGGTGCGACCATCGACGGCAGGGACGGGGTTGCAGCCGAAACCTCCTCCCAGGTGAGATGCAGAGCCTTCACCTCCTTGCCTCTCTGCTCCTCTCCACACGCTCTCCTGATGCCTCAGTCCTGCACGTCATGCCCAAAAGATTTGAATCACCAGTCATCTCTGATCCAAAGTCATGCAGGGGGAACAGCAAGACCAGGAGGCCAAGAACGTCAAGGGAAGATCGTTTCTCAAAGAGCCCCAGCATGAATTCAAATGAAGGGGAAAATCAAGACGAGACCCTCCAAATTCAGTCAACGCCCAGTGGGAAGAAGTACATCTTTCGTTTGAACAACGTGGCCATGGTGAACATTGATGAGAATGAAGTGCTAGAAGTAAGCTCAGATGAGGTGTGTGTACATTGTATTTCTTATCTGTCTAAGATACATCTCAGGATGATGGAGAATACAATCATTTTGGCAATCGGGGAGGAAAGATAAACTCACCGAATGACGACCTCGGTTTCAACTTCTCGACCGACGAGATTCTGAAACTTGCGAATGCCATGACGAATGTTGGAGGCATCCTGCAATTCGATGAGATTGAAAGTCCTGTAGAAGCGGGGAAGGATAACAGTACCACAGACAGCAGCTCATCAAAATCAAGCTCAGAATCTCACAAAGGTGAGATGGAGACGATGATGCTTTCTCGCGCTGCGAGAATGGATGCAGAGCCTGAACTATTCGTACACCATTCAATCGAGTTTTCTCACGATGACTCTCGCCATGAGCACACTGCCAGTGTCAGAGATCCAGGCAGCAGCGATCTTCAAGCGCCAAATCAGTCAGAGGAAGTTGTACTGCATAAGATGTCAAGACCAAACCTTCACAAGCCCGAAAGTGAAACATTCGAACAAAGAGCGTCAATACATGAAAGAGTCAATGGGAGAACTGGAAGGAGGGAAAAGAGCGGTATTGAAGAATACAAACACGGCACGCGGCTAGAAAATAAGACAAAGACTCAGCCGATTCACAGCGATTCTTTTCAATCGTCTAAACAGTCAAGCTCACAAATAACGACTAATCAACACATTGTGACCACGACAAAGCGATCGCAAGGAGTCAGCGCATTAAGGGAAAATTCAAAGCAAGTGCCAACTGTACACCTGCAGGGTAAAGAGGATGGACTGGCAGGCAACGATTATTACGCAGAAAGCAGATTGGACAACAAATCAACGCACAAAGCATCATTTCAGGAGCTATACCACAGCAAAACTGACCAAGATAAGATGTCGATCCAAGAAAAACAAAATGAAAACAGAAAGCTCAAGGAACAACAGATGTATGAATCAAATTACAATGGAAAAGTGAAGGCTGGAGAGATGAGAGAGGAGGAAGAGCTGGAAGACCCGCCCGCAGCTCACACTGACTCAACGCCCGTTGCCAGGCAGGCCCCTCATGTCGGGGAGCGGGAAGCTCAGGTGCACGAGGCCTCAGCGGCAGACGACGCGCGTGAGGGCGACGATGAGCCCGGATTGACCCGTGAGGACCACGCGACAGGCTTGAGGGGGGAGGGCTCGGCGCATCAGATCACGCAAGACGAGGAGGCAAAGGCTGACGACAAGACGCAGAAAGCAGATGTAGAGGAGCAAGCATCGCCGAGGCAGGAGGCGTCAGCAGGAGAAGGCGAGTTGAGGGACGCGAGTATCGCTGAGCACTCGAGGTATCCGCCTCAGGCAGTGGACCTCCTGGCAGCTGCACATGGAGGGATTTCCGACCACCCCGCTTCTCGAGAGACCCCGGCGACAAGCGAGCAAGCTACCGATGCGCTGCAGGTCAAGGCAGGCAAGCAAACTAAGAAGCCAAAGCAGCCCAAGGCTAAGCCAGCAGCTGGTGAAGTCAAGGCTGGAGAGATGAGAGAGGAGGAAGAGCTGGAAGACCCGCCCGCAGCTCACACTGACTCAACGCCCGTTGCCAGGCAGGCCCCTCATGTCGGGGAGCGGGAAGCTCAGGTGCACGAGGCCTCAGCGGCAGACGACGCGCGTGAGGGCGACGATGAGCCCGGATTGACCCGTGAGGACCACGCGACAGGCTTGAGGGGGGAGGGCTCGGCGCATCAGATCACGCAAGACGAGGAGGCAAAGGCTGACGACAAGACGCAGAAAGCAGATGTAGAGGAGCAAGCATCGCCGAGGCAGGAGGCGTCAGCAGGAGAAGGCGAGTTGAGGGACGCGAGTATCGCTGAGCACTCGAGGTATCCGCCTCAGGCAGTGGACCTCCTGGCAGCTGCACATGGAGGGATTTCCGACCACCCCGCTTCTCGAGAGACCCCGGCGACAAGCGAGCAAGCTACCGATGCGCTGCAGGTCAAGGCAGGCAAGCAAACTAAGAAGCCAAAGCAGCCCAAGGCTAAGCCAGCAGCTGGTGAAGTCAAGGCTGGAGAGATGAGAGAGGAGGAAGAGCTGGAAGACCCGCCCGCAGCTCACACTGACTCAACGCCCGTTGCCAGGCAGGCCCCTCATGTCGGGGAGCGGGAAGCTCAGGTGCACGAGGCCTCAGCGGCAGACGACGCGCGTGAGGGCGACGATGAGCCCGGATTGACCCGTGAGGACCACGCGACAGGCTTGAGGGGGGAGGGCTCGGCGCATCAGATCACGCAAGACGAGGAGGCAAAGGCTGACGACAAGACGCAGAAAGCAGATGTAGAGGAGCAAGCATCGCCGAGGCAGAGGCGTCAGCAGGAGAAGCGAGTTGAGGGACGCGAGTATCGCTGAGCACTCGAGGTATCCGCTCAGGCAGTGGACCTCCTGGCAGCTGCACATGGAGGGATTTCCGACCACCCCCGCTTCTCGAGAGACCCCGGCGACAAGCGAGCAAGCTACCGATGCGCTGCAGGTCAAGGCAGGCAAGCAAACTAAGAAGCCAAAGCAGCCCAAGGCTAAGCCAGCAGCTGGTGAAGTCAAGGCTGGAGAGATGAGAGAGGAGGAAGAGCTGGAAGACCCGCCCGCAGCTCACACTGACTCAACGCCCGTTGCCAGGCAGGCCCCTCATGTCGGGGAGCGGGAAGCTCAGGTGCACGAGGCCTCAGCGGCAGACGACGCGCGTGAGCATGAATGTCAGTAAGGCGGCAGCTCACTGGCGAAACCTTGCTCAGCCTCCTCCTCTCAGTCTTTCCTTCTCTCACTCGTTGTTCATGGAGTTCTCTTGCAAGTCCTTCTGTTGTTTGTCGAAGTCCTCGAGCTCTTTCCGTTGCTTCTCCTTCAGATTCTCCTCCAACGTCTTGATCTCTTTCGCCAGCGCCTTCTTCGCGTTCTTCTTCTCCAGCGTCCCCGCGCCCATGGCCTTCTTGTGGCTCTTCATCGAGTCCAGCTGGCAGCGCAGAGCTCGCCATTCCTTCTTGTGCCTCTGCAGGATCTTGCCGCGAGTCATGCCCTCCCCCTGCTCCTCTTCTCCCCCGGACCCCCCCTGCTCTTGCGTCCTCGCCTCTGCCGTCTCTTCCACTGTCGGCTCTCCGTCTTGCATCGCTTCCCCTTCCCTCAGCGTGTTGGCTGTAGACTTTTCTAGCATGTTGCATAAGTCGGTGATCCTGGTGGTGTCGCGGCCATAAGGGCTGAAGCGACTTGCTCCTCCCTTCTTCTTTGTCTTGCCCATCCTCTCGATTCAACTGCCAGCGACCAATATTCAGTTCTCTGCGCTTCTTGTCCTGGAACTCCTTATCTCCTTAACATTCATTCCTTGAGAGCTCGTCTGTTTGCTCGCTATCCATCACTTCTTCTCACAAAGCCGCACACTTATTGACTTAGAATCTCATTTCTTCATCGACCGTGTACTCTCTTGTGTCCTAGTTATTACAAACCTTGATTGAACCGAATGATTTGCTTTATTCCAGCAATGTTTGATGTTCTCTATTTCCTCACAATTCATCACTTCCGATATCTCACCTTCTCCGAAACCTTCTTATCCCTCCTCTCTTGCTTTTGCTTCTCGTCTCCGTCTGCCTCTCCTCCTGTCCTCTCTCGCTCTCTTGCTCTCCTCCTCCTCTCCTCCTCTCCTCCTCTCCTCCTCTCCTCCTCTCCTCCTCTCCTCCTCTCCTCCTCTCCTCCTCTCCTCCTCTCCTCCTCTCCTCCTCTCTTGTGTCTTTAACCAAAGGAAGATGATATGAGAGAATA